ACCCTAGTCAGAACTGACACACCGAAAAGTGCAATTGTCCACTTTAAACGCTCAAAACGGCTACAATGAAGAGTCCTATTGGCCTCAAACTCGCATATAAGGGGAACAAATCAACAGGGCCACATACACCCGTCTAAACGGCCATACCAATTGTCAAAATTGCCGAAACCATAGTCAAAATGGTTATTTGAAAACGACAGAAACGTTTAAATGTCAAAATTGTCACCAAAAATTGTTTTTGACCAATGCGTTGGCGATCGTTATGAGGTGGGTTTCGGTTTAGTACAGTCCCTACAATTCACGCGATGTATAATTTCACGCTCAGAATATCGTCTTAACAAAACTGTAATAAAGTCCTTAAGCTGCCCTGGGGTATAATAAACCATCCTGATTTATTGAATCACAAACACCGTCAACAGACAAACACGGGTACATAAAAATTATGAGATCGACAAGCAAGTTACACAACAGAAAGGGCAACGAGACTGTACATGAATTAGAATGCTGCTTGATTATCCGCCTCTGCGGTTAGATCCGGGTGGCTCTTAGTTTCCTTCAACAGCCCTACCTGAAGCTAAATATCATACCTCTTTCATGTACTGACTATATACGTCTTGTTCATTGTGATATCTGTTTACATATTTCATGCGCGAATAAAACGCTTAGTCGATCCTATTTGAATAGGCATGGAAAGCAGGCAGTTGGGGTGCCTTCTTATGTCAATTTCGTTGTGAACAGGAAGTTTCAAAAGAGCGTGAGGCACGAGTCTGGCATGTGGTGCATGTGTGTTTTGTGCAACATATCGAAACGTATATTTAACCGTGTTTGACGTCACAATGCTATGTCAGACGCAAATAACTGTATGGTTCATTTCACAAGTCACTTGGTACGGGTAATTATTCATGCAATAGATCTCTGTTGATATTTATTACATTTTTGTTACTGTTCATTGGGTAATAAAACAATTAGCTTTTTAGATAATAACCCACTTTGTACGAAAAGGAAGTTTTTAAGAAAACAACATCCACATGAGATTCTCAAACACGAGTGTAGTACTGACATTTTCGATGGCATAAATGCAGGAATTGACATGTTGTTGTGTGTTTCGATTGGACTTTGTCCTCGCAGTATACTTGGCCATAATAGACTTGTTCTTTGTTATACTTCCGTGTATAATATTGGCGAGTGTCTAATGAAATAGCATAAAATTCATTGACATGATTTTGCATATATACTGAACGGTTTTATGTATATATATTGAAGTATATGTTTTGACCAGTGGAGTTATAAGTTGTCACTGATACATTGATATACTTTGTCTACTAAACTGACATGTACTGATTTGTTTTCACCTATACACTATTGTGTGACTAACACATTGAAATAGTGTGTCTACTGCATTGAACTATTTTGGCTAATCCTTTGAATATTTTGTCTAATACCTGAATATGTCTGGTTTATACATCAACATGTTTTGTCTAGAACATTATTATACATGAAAGCTACGACATATTCTGTCTTTGATAATATGTTTCAAAAGTACATTTGTTTTCACGAAACCATTATCATGCCTGACTAATACATTTACACGTTGTGTGTCATCCATAATTAAGCTTCATCAAAACATTGACAATATTTGACAAACACAAGATCACGTTTGACTACTACATCGACATTTTTGACTGAAACAGGCCGTTTCAATAATACATCTAGTCTGTCTCACAGTCCCTGAACCACATTATTTTCCCTACTGCCTAGCCCTCTCTGCAGTGCTAAAGTCCTAAATGAAGCAAGTCTAGATTTCCTCAGGTTCAGGATCTCTGGTCTCCCTGGGGCTCCTTTTCAATTTAAATGGGATTGTTTGTTACTATCAAAATTATATATATTCAGAGACTAAGCATTAGTCTATAATACATCGAAAGATTTCTATTATGACTAATATGTCGACACACTTTAACTGATACATTAACATATTTCACTAACACATTGATACCACTGGGCTAACACATTGATACCACTGGGCTAACACACTGATACCACTGGGCTAACACATTGATACCACTGGGCTAACACATTGATACCACTGGGCTAACACATTGATACCACTGGGCTAACACATTGATACCACTGGGCTAACACATTGATACCACTGGGCTAACACACTGATACCACTGGGATAACACATTGATATCACTGGGTTAACACACTGATACCACTGGGCTAACACACTGATAACACTGGGCTAACACATTGATACCACTGGGCTAACACATTGATACCACTGGGCTAACACATTGATACCACTGGGCTGACACATTGATACCACTGGGCTGACACATTGATACCACTGGGCTAACACATTGATACCACTGGGCTAACACATTGATACCACTGGGCTGAGACACTGATACCACTGGGATAATACATTGATACCACTGGGCTAACACACTGATACCACTGGGCTAACACATTGATACCACTGGGCTAACACATTGATACCACTGGGCTAACACATTGATACCACTGGGATAATACATTGATACCACTGGGCTAACACATTGATACCACTGGGCTGAGACACTGATACCACTGGGCTAACACATTGATACCACTGGGCTAACACATTGATACCACTGGGCTAACACATTGATACCACTGGGCTAACACATTGATACCACTGGGCTAACACACTGATACCACTGGGCTAACACATTGATACCACTGGGATAATACATTGATACCACTGGGATAATACATTGATACCACTGGGCTAACACATTGATACCACTGGGATAATACATTGATACCACTCGGATAATACATTGATACCACTGGGCTAACACATTGATACCACTGGGCTGAGACACTGATACCACTGGGCTAACACATTGATACCACTGGGCTAACACATTGATACCACTGGGCTAACACATTGATACCACTGGGCTAACACTGGGCTAACACATTGATACCACTGGGCTAACACATTGATACCACTGGGCTAACACATTGATACCACTGGGCTAACACACTGATACCACTGGGCTAACACATTGATACCACTGGGCTAACACATTGATACCACTAGGCTAACACATTGATACCACTGGGATAATACATTGATACCACTGGGCTAACACACTGATACCACTGGGCTAACACATTGATACCACTGGGCTAACACACTGATACCACTGGGCTAACACATTGATACCACTGGGCTAACACATTGATACCACTAGGTTAACACATTGATACCACTGGGCTAACACATTGATACCACTGGACTAATACATTGATACCACTGGGCTAACACACTGATACCACTGGGATAATACATTGATACCACTGGGCTAACACATTGATACCACTGGGCTAACACATTGATACCACTGGGCTAACACATTGATACCACTGGGATAACACATTGATACCACTGGGCTAACACATTGATACCACTGGGCTAACACATTGATACCACTGGACTAATACATTGATACCACTGGGCTAACACATTGATACCACTGGGATAATACATTGATACCACTGGGCTAACACATTGATACCACTGGGCTAACACACTGATACCACTGGGCTAACACATTGATACCACTGGGCTAACACATTGATACCACTAGGCTAACACATTGATACCACTGGGCTAACACATTGATACCACTGGACTAATACATTGATACCACTGGGCTAACACACTGATACCACTGGGCTAACACATTGATACCACTGGGCTAACACATTGATACCACTAGGCTAACACATTGATACCACTGGGATAATACATTGATACCACTGGGCTAACACACTGATACCACTGGGCTAACACATTGATACCACTGGGCTAACACATTGATACCACTGGGCTAACACACTGATACCACTGGGCTAACACATTGATACCACTGGACTAATACATTGATACCACTGGGCTAACACACTGATACCACTGGGCTAACACACTGATACCACTGGGCTCACACACTGATACCACTGGGCTAACACATTGATACCACTGGGCTAACACATTGATACCACTAGGCTAACACATTGATACCACTGGGCTAACACATGGATACCACTGGGCTGACACACTGACATGTTTTCACGAGTACATTGACATTTTTTGTAATATTTATTCTATGCATTAGCATTTTATTACCGTGTTTTATGGGATATATTCACGCCCTGATTGCCATGCCCCGATAGCAATGCTCTGATTGGCATGTCCCAGCACCTCTTCAACATACCATTCGTTTTCATTCAATCTTACTGAAGAAAATGGATATTAGCCTGCGATTTTATCATAAACTGATGCCAAGATAAACATTCAATTTGATGTGTGTTTGTTTATTTACATTTATCACTTTGGCTAAAGTTTGATCAGGACACTGTCCACAAGCATAAAATCCCTCGCTTACAGTACACACACAGTGACGAGATTGAGGCCATACGAGAAAATTCAATACTACTTTATCGTCACGTACAAGCCAAGCATTAGGTCACGTGTGTGGGACAGACATGTCATGTAAACAAATCGATATATACTCGCACGATCACCTACGTTTCTAGAATATATCAACTTCGTACTTAAGTAGCAATAACACTCCCTCGACCATAAGTGTTAAATATGCACTGTCAACTCGCCCTGTTGATAGTTGCGATATCTACCTGGTTGCCATGGCGACCACGAAATTTTCAAGGCAGGAATGCATGACTCGGAAAAAACGTGGTCTTTTGTGTAGTATAACCAGTATCATATTTGAATTAATACTTTCACATACTAGTATTGTCATATAAACACACCCTATGTTGACGATTATTCTACGCAGGTACACAAACATGAATAACTTATGAAAATATAAAGGTCCGGTCTCGTAAGCTTATATGAACAGCACCTGTCCTATATTCGACATGTGACCTAATTAATATTTTTTTAAATCAAATGTACATTAATGTTGACACATGTATAAATATCCACCTACCTCGAGGAATGTCAGTGTAACATTTTTTCCATAGTCCATAGTTATAATTCCAGTGTTGCTGCATAGTCTCGTTAAGGTTCGAATCAGCTTCCACATAATACCAGTATTCCGTCAACACTCCGATCAGAGTCAGTGTTAGAGCCGCTAGGAGAAGGAACAGGACAAAAATAAGAAAGCTGAATTGTCGGTTGGTCATTTTGAAACTGTATCGATGAGGAAAGCTTCTGGGTTTCGTTGAATGTCGGTCAATTTCGTTCCTGTGGCAAGGACATCTGCTCGGGCGGCGCGCCGCGGTTTCAACCTGTTCAGAAGTAACCGGTTTGATGCTATTTTTAGAATTCCATTCACCTTGCCGCTTGCCTGATGACGTCACAATCGGAACAAACCAAGCCCTGGGGAAGCCCCGATCTCACTGTCAAGCTGATCTTAGATTAGCGCAGTGTGCATTATTGAAGCAGTAATCTTTGCTGACTGACGGGGCTCGATAACAATTACATTGTGTACATCTAAAAGCCTGTGTTTACCTGCAATCACATTCGCCATGGCTTGTTGGGTACGTTACAGACTGGCATCAATACAATACAGATTTACTCTATTATAATGCTAATAATGTGTACAAGATTTGATTATGCTTATAAATGGGTCTCTAATGTACTTTTAAAAGCAAACAAAAAACAAAACAAACAACGTTTAGTATCATACAATTATATTTATGCTTTTGAGAGTTGTTTTTTTATAAATGTTACATATACATCTTTAATCAAGATAAGTCAGACGCAGTAACAGGTGACAACTGATGGACATAGGATGTTTTGGAAACTGCTATCAAATGAATATTAGGCTGATATATGTATCAAATACTATCAAAACAATATTAGGCTGAAAACACTCGCTGAAACACAACTATGACACCCATATTAAATATATCACAAACAAACTGGTTTTTCTTTCTTTTTAGCCAGTATTTAATATGGGTGCATACACGGTTCTCGGAGAAATGTCATTTAGCAATATTAGGCCATTTCCTACTGTACATATTTTAATCTTTCTTCGATTTGCATAAAATAACATGTTTAACCTCGTAGATCTGGTTAAGACTCGAGTCTCATCACTATACAACTATATTTCATCTACTGAGTAACATAAGTCGTAAAAGCAAACGTGTAGTTATTCAGCTGCTCAGGTGTCTATTCGTCTAAGACTTTTGAAAGCAACACGACAACTGTTTTCTGAATGAAAATTTGCTTCAAAGGGCTAATTACCATGTAGACACGCGTGGATGTCTAGAATCACTTGACACTGATTGTATAAGTGTTAATTCCCCATTGTTCAATAGGTGTCAGTTACCATGAGCGAGCAGTGAAGAACTCAAACCCTTACTGTTAAAATGTCAGTGAGATTCTTATGCATGTGCTGATATGTGGTTTGGTTCAAATCTTTTTTCTCATAATACTTATAATGACATTACTGTCATCACCCGAGGAAGGATTAAGAAAATACACAAAATAAAGAAGCTGACATACGTGAATTCGCCCCTTTATGTGTATCACTTCTAAATGCCGTTCAAAAATTCGACATTACTGTCCATTACTGTTACTTTATGACATCGCTAATCTTTACTTAAGCCACACGTATAAATACCAGTGTGATAATGCTTGATTAAAACAATACCCTCGACGGTGATATAATATCAGTAGCCCGCAATGAAGAGGTACCCGAACGATCCTATTGATCGGCCTTCAGTATCGAGCTGTCAGAAGTTCCAGTGGAGGTCTACAAGGACAATAAAGGTCTGTCGCCAGAAGCGTTATTTAGAAAAAATCGAGTATTCGAGAGTTTACTTTCAATTGTGAAAACAAATGCGACAAGGTCGAAATCTATGTCTTACAGACAAGCACCGTCTATATAGATGTCAGAAAATTCGAACTCAAACATCGTACTCTCAGCAAAGAGATATGTTTCACAGAAATCAAACCGTAGTACCCCATGACCCTAAAACGTCTGGGTCAAGCATGTCATTGATAGTAATAGATAGTTCAATCACATCATGGAATTACTGAACACGAGTGGTTGTGAAATCGGTTTTGTTGTTCCAGAGTTTTGTATTTTATTATTGATGTGAAATATATACTAATGTTGAGAGACACCGTTGAACATCCGTCACCTTCTGAGGCAGGAATGCCCACGAGCCAATAGCAAAGTAAAGTTTTCATCTTGGTCATTTCCAGTGGAAGCTAGGCTTTGATACAAACTAGACACATCCCTTTGCATGGGAACTGGCATAACTCAGAACTGATATATTGAGAACTGACACGTTTTACCAATTGAAAATCAGAGATGAGTCATTCACTATTTTTTTGAAATTAGTGAGGATGTTTTTCCTGAATCTTATTGATTCATCAAATTCAGATAAATCTGGGTCGGTGGGGTACCCATTTCTGGTGTCCCCCGCCGTGATGTTGCTGGAATATTTCTATAAGCGGCGTAAAATTAAACTCACTCACTCAGATTAATCATTTTAAAATCATTTTTAACTCACTAAAGAATATCAATTTGTCTATAGAGATACTGATAGTTTAACCGTCGTTGGTCAGTATGTTGTGTACGTCTGTTGATGATGTGGTTCTTCGAGTTTGTCTGCCAATCAGAGAATAAAGACACACGACAGAACACCCACCATGCATGTTTCACTAGATATCAATAGTCAAACATGCAGTCCCAGTATGCATTTAATTTGTGATATAAACTTCCTGGGGAGTATGTACAATGAGCGCTCCTAGACTTATGAAGCTGTTTTCATGTATAAGGCTATAGCGGTAAAGTGGGTGAGGTATCCAATTGACTGAGCTAGGATTAATGTGGTTCTGCGGTACAGTTCTCTTATTTGCTCTGCTTTCAAAGATGGCCCAGAGACGTATAATATATTATAATCAACACTTCTATAAACAAGCCACATCAATGAGATTTGAAGAGAACCTTGTCTAGCACAGTGGTCGATATTATGGGCAACGATGAACGCTTTTTTGTACAAGGGACAGATTGTGAAACATATTCTAAAAAGAAATTGCAGGGATTGTAATGAGTGAGTTTGATCTAACACTGCGTTGACCAGTATGTCTATTATATCACGGCATCATCAGCTTGATGAGAATGCGGGTCTTAACTGTGTAGCCGAACTCTACGTACACGAAGATAGTGTTGCTAAATGATAAAAATATTCATCAGGGTTCATAAAGAATTCCAATCCTCTATAAGCGAAATGTGTCTCGCCCAAGGGACGAAACCCTGCACTCCAAATGGTTGCGTCATTGACAGCTGTACCACCCATCACAACGCTTGTAACGTTATGCCGCAAAATGAGTGAGTGAGGGAATTGGTTTTAACGCCATTTTAAACAGTATTCCAGTTAGACGATGACATGCCGGCTAGATGTTTAAGGAAACCCTATGTGACATAGGTTTTACAGATTAACCCCTTTGGTGATACCCTCGAGCTCGAATATGGTGCAGGCAAACCTAGAAAGTTAGAAACATACCGTGACTAACCTGGATTCGAATCTACGATAATAGGTGCCTGGCGTGCTCAAGGGAGGCAACTCTAATAGTACAACGAATTGCAGTGCTTTATAATTAGACGATTGGTCATGACCCCCTGTCCCCGTCGCAGAATCAGACATGATCAGAAATCAGACATGATACATTTATGATCATTTATTCCTACATTTATTGACGGAACATATATCTTATTATAGGTGTTCGTAAATATGAATATAACTCATTACTTACATCACGGTTCATGCTTTAATCGAATTGTACGCATTCAAATAAATATAAACCGTAAACGTGACATATATGCAGCTACGCAATAACCGTGATTTTCATCCAGTGGTTTTACGTTTTCTCTAAAAACACATAACCTTAACATGAAAATCGAATAGAAAACAATATATCTCAAAACACAATAAGCAGTTCTCACAGATTATCGTTAACTTGCGAAAGCAAACAAATATCGCGTTAACATAACAACCCTCTAACGGCGACGTGGTCGGGTTTATCTTCCTCAAGATTCAGGTTGTTGTACAAACCAAAATCCTACACAGCAAAAATCAATAAAACACAACATTTCATCTCCAAGCTGTCCCCATGACATATTCGAGCACAACCCAACCTCTCCGTTCTATATCAGCATGTTGTTTGAGAAAGCATTTCGAATCTACTGACATAGATCCGCCGTACTATTAGGAACAGGTGACAATGGTTGCAAAAGGTCACGTATAAAAACATTAAAACAGATACTATTTCCCAGAAACACTATTGCAATACATAGATAATAAACAACTGCCCTGTAACAAGCCCAAGGTGGTACTGCCGCTCAAATAGGGTTGGCAAGCTCTCATCCGAAATTGCATTGGTCCTTCGTCTTATGACGTATGAGGTACACCAGGCGCTGAGATGCGCACGCGGGGGCGTAGAATGTCATTGATACGTCGGGGACGTCAATCACACCATTAAAGGTCATGTGTGGTCGATAGGTCAAAGGTCGGCTCATGGCCCCGTACCTCTGGGAGGGAAGGGTGATCGCACAAGACAGGAACGGTAGATAGACGCTGTTTGAGGGCGATCTGGCATTGGTCTACCGTCTCTGACATCGCCGTCTGAAGCGCAGCAGGGGCTTTTGGAAAATTATTGTGTTATTTGAGACAAATTGATGCCATTATTGAATTACCTTCAGTGTTATTTGGTCCTAATTTGTGGATGGTCGATTTGATTTTTTCCGAGGGTAAATGCATGCTTCTTTATAGCAACTTATTGAATCGATCTTTCATTTCCATGCAAGACAGGCCTGTAGGGAAGGTTTAAAGTGCACACTATTATACAAGAAACCGTTTGGGCAAAAGAAGCCGATCTAGATCTACAACTGGCTAGACGCTTGTCTCACTTTGACCCAACCAGCCTTAGTTTTGTAGGTGATGGGTGCTGGACAGTCCCAAATGTGGTTTGTGGTCAGTTAAGGTCAAGCGTAATCAGTCGCCAATAGACTGTGTTGTGTAAAGCAATGTTGCGTTATCGTGGACAAATCACAATCGGGCTGGGAAAATGGCATTCCTGTCAAAGTTTAACTTGATTCATTTACGAAGAAAAGAAGCACATATCAATAAATCTTAAGATTCAGTTGAACATTGACAATGAGCAGACCGATCGTCACCTCTGTTCCTACAACAGCAAATACAACATTATCCTTGCTCCAAAAAATACAAATGCAGTTTAAAAGAGAAGAAATGCATGAACAGATTATAGAAGACATTTTCTAAAACTTCAAA